CCAGATGCTGATATGCTTCCCTTGACGGGCACTAGTGGCGTGATGCCCTCTTCAAGCATCTGGTGCAAAGTGCGAATGGTCGTCTCTTTTATGCCTGAGAAACCAGAAGCGAGAGAATTGAGCCTGATCAACATGGCGGCTCGGACCCAAGATTCCGGCATCGATGTTGAGGCCAGTGGGTTATCAAGAGGGAGTGCTGATTGGCAGATGATGTCGTTCAAATCTGCGTCATGCCGCGACTCGGGAGCCGTGACTGCTCGCTCTTCTGTGATGACGCCGTATTGAAGCATGCGTAACAGGTTTGACTGAAGTTGCTCAACTTGATTTGTCCGTGTGTTGGCGCTGCCACCAAAACCAGTGTTGACACCTGAGATAATGTAAGCTTCAAAGTCCGAGTCTGAGAAAGAAGCGTCTCACCATATACAACCTCTCCTTTGTCAATACTCGCTTGGACCATTTCGGCGCCCTTGACGACAGCCTCAATGCTGCCATCAGACAAATGTGACGATGTTCCATATCTGGGCTTGAGTCAATATATTGGCGTCAATACTCGGAGCAAGACTGCCGTACCTGGCAATTGCGATTACCGTGGCCAAGTCAAGGCTCTTTCCGTCAATTCCTTCATTGGCGGAATGCCCTTTGAGCTTTGCAGCAATAGCGTCCCAATGGGACAGGTATATATCGTTTATCGCTCCCAACGACATTTTCTTAGGGTTAGGGTTAAAGAATGAACAAGAAGTGGTTAGCTAAAAAAGAGAAGAATGGCTGCAAGATAATTGACGAGTTAAAAGGGAACTCTTCCTTGAAAAAAGCACAAAGGTGTCGGAATGACAGACAAAATAAGAGATTTAACGTGTAATATTATTATCCATAGGAGAGAGATAATCTAGAACCGCAGGCTCAACAACGTATAAGGCTGTACATGTTGCGTCGAATCATTATTACTACCAGACCTGTATTGCGTGACATAAGCCGACCTGGGGAAAAGAGCCTCAAAAGACGGCTTTAACCGTTTAGTCGAAAAATCAGCCACCCTAATCGATAGCGTAATAGTCCGACCGGTCGGACCATGGTCTCGAGAAATCCTCAGACCAGACCATTCCGATCACTGTCGCCAGCAGCCGGAGTTTGAAAATCTTGTCCATCAGGCAGAATCAGATGGTCAATCATTCCAGAGAGTGGACCGCCTAGAATCCTAGTGTGATGTATTTTGGTATGGCGTATTTCTTTCCGACGGAGTAAAATGAAGCCGAAGCATATCGCAGTTGTATAAAAGCCCAAATCCTCGAACACGAGATGGTCGTCAGAACAATAGCCACCAGCCCCGGGCGGCAACGTCCACATTTTCAGCCTCCAGGCACACGTCGGCAAAGCTTTGCCGCAAAGTGCTGTTCCATTCTTACCCGTGCCGCTTCCAAGATCCTCGGTGGGAGCTTGTATAACGCGTGCTGAGTCTGCAGGTGGGATCCTGTACGACAAACGCCACGCAGCCAGCAACGCTTAAGGGGAAACAGGCACTCATCCTGGCCCTCCCTAGCCAAGGCTTTCCTACAGCGAGGTACTTACTCGGATGATACCAATCTTGGAGTTGGCCGGAATACTTGGCCTCGAAAAACCACCGAAATTCAAGGCTACTGCCGTGATTACGGGATATTTGAATTTGGTCCGATGTGCACATGGATTGTCGGCCTCTTTCCAGAGTATTTTTACAACGCACAATCAACAAGTTGACCAATATGAGTTGTAAAAGGTGTTGGCCTTTAATACAGCGTACCTGAAGCCCCTCAACGGCATCTACAAGTCCAGAATATTGGGAAACATGGCCTGAGACGACAAGGTAGGCGTCCATGCACGTCTAGTCTGGCAGCTAAGATGCTCTATGGCGGGGCGCTGATGACGGGGAAAGGGCCCAGGACGAGAAGATCAGCGTTTGGTCTGCAGGTAGGCTCAGGAGATTGTCATGTGTGGTTATACCGAGGGGCGTACGGCTAGCATCTGTGCGTGTCACGTCGGCGTCTGCTTCCTCCCTACTCCATGCCGTCCTTCTGCGTAGGATTAAACAGGCAGAATGCGCCAAGTGTTACGCAGGTGGGAGCCCAACAAACGAGGCCAACATGATGTTGCACAAGGAGATGACGAGGGCGGCTTTATTTCGTTGATAGAGCTCCTTTGGCCCCTCTAGTTCCTCGGGAGCAAAGGACCTGTAACATTCTACGAGATTTTCATTGAATTGAGTCTTTTGCTCCAAGCCCTTGATCACAAGCCCTTGTCACAATAGGGATCGACATACTTGAAGTCTCGTCGACCAATAGTACCGGTTTCACGACCTCTTCAAACTACAGCCGCAACACGCCACCAACTACATGCATGCTGAAAGTGGCTTCGGCGGCAGCCTTGAGCTTACACATCCGTGTGCAGCCCCCAATCTATGACATATGTGGTTCCCAGGGACATTATTTATTACTACTCGGATATACTACCTGCATTATTCCCTTTGTCAACACTTCTCATCAACGGTGTTGCCTGTATCGATTCAAGCATTATTAGTCATGGCCATGGGTGAGAAGCTGGTCTCTACCGTGCTCCGTGCCGACAGGCAAGATGTTCTTCGATATGCCCCGTTTATAGGGATCGCCCTTTTGTCAATTCTAGTTATTAATTATTTTCGAAATCCTCTGAAGAGTGTCCCTGGTCCATTTTGGGCCAAATTTTCGAACCTATGGCTCGTCTATCATACTCGCCAGGGGAGAATGCACCGTAAGATGATTGAGCTGCACGGCAAGTATGGACCGCTGGTTCGACTCGGACCGCACGAAATCAGCACTGCCGACATAGATTCTCTCAGAGCCATTTATGGTTCGTAACTCGATTCTACTTGCAGAGTTCATGACACTAACAACCCCAAAGGGCCAGGCAACGATTTCCGTAAAAGTGACTGGTACATGCCATGGCAAGGCAACCGCAAGTGGGACTTATTTGCGGAACGTAATGAGAGCATTCATCGAGCACAACGGCGATTAGTTAGCCACATCTATTCGCTATCCAATATGAAGAAATTGGAGCCTTATGTCGATAGCGCCATCTTATTCTTGCTCAAAAAACTGGCTTCCATGCAAGGCCAAGAGATTGATGTGGGCAGATGGACTAGGCTGTTTGCCTACGGTCAGTAAATCCGCTGGCAGTGTGAGACAAACAAGTCTAATTTCTACAGATGTCATTGGTGAAGTCACGTTTTCTAAGCGTTTCGGCTTTATGGACAAGGGCATAGACGATGGCGCCTTCACCATGATCGACAACATCCTGCAGTGCGCGAATTGGGTAGGACATATCCCCTGGTTCTACTACCTCAGCATATGGCTTGCTCCTATCATCGGCAATCACCTCGCCATTACCCAACGCCAGGGCAAGCTTCTGCACATGTCCCAACAGAATATCAGGGAGCGCAAGGAACGAGGAACCGACCGCAACGACATGCTTGAACAGCTCTTTGAAGTTCAGCGGGAAAAGCCAGACAAATTGGACGACATTTGTGTTGCGTCGATGGCTGCCAGCAACATCTTTGCTGGGAGTGACTCAACATCCGTGTCTATCTCAGCCTTCCTCTACCACACCCTTCGAAACCCCGAGGTTAAGAAGAAGCTGATGGACGAGATCGATGAACATGCAGCAAAGAACAACATTCCACATGGCGCCGTCTTTGATCTGGAAATTATTAACAACATGCCTTTCTTGCAAGCGTGCATGTACGAGGCTCTTCGCTGCCATCCAGCTGTGGGAGTCTCCCTCGGCCGAGTCGTGCCCCCATCTGGACTGCAAATTGGTCAACAATTCATCCCTGGAGGAGTACGTCTAGCTTCTCTTGATGAGCATTATGGATACTAATACTGTGCAGTCTGGCATTAGCGCAAATGCCTGGGTTATCCATCAAAACAAGGACATCTTTGGCCAAGACGCACACATATTCCGTCCAGAGAGGTGGATGGAAGAGCCCGAGCGCGTTGCCACCATGAGTACGCAATTTTGATCTGTACGCTATCCCCCAGTAGTATTTTCTGACGTCAAGACAGGGCGCAACTTCCTTAGTTTTGGTGCTGGATCTCGATACTGTATTGGACGAAGTAAGTACTCCAGCCTTGGCATGCCACTGAATTTGGCTGACAACTGTTGAAGACGTGGGCTGGCTTGAGATGTCCAAGGCAAGTGGAAGCTACCTTTTCCTCTCTGGGGCAAAACTAACAACATGTAGCTTATGCCAACATTGTTTCACGATTACGAAGTTGAGTTCTGCGATCCTAGCAAAGACACGAGAGAAGTCGCGTGGTAATTCGAATATACAGAACCTACCGCTATTAAGTGCAAATGTGGCTAACTTGTTAAAGGGTTTTTATTAAAATAGAGGACCTCTTCGTGTACGTGAGACCGAGACCAGATAGTCTGCCAAACTAGGCTATCTGCGCCTATCACTAGGGTTTAGGCGGGCATTTCGAAGGTGATTACTACTTGACAGATGTGTACCCACCAAGTAAGGGATTTCGCGGTCATCGGGTTGTAAGAAGCAAAAGCAAGGGCACCAAGCTTACAGCAAGGCAGATTGCTGAGTTTCTATGGGAATTACTATACATGGCCATGGCCCATTTGCTATAAAGTGGCAACGTGCGTATATAAAAAATCAAGCCTGCGCCTTTCCTCGTCGCTGGCTGCATGGTTGGGATTAATGCAACCACCCCCCTTGATGTCACAAATACTCCCCACCCGAGGTACGGTATCTGTCAGACCCTGGGCGTTCGGGCCGCCGACGGCCAACCAACGGGACGGTGGGGTCAAGTGGGCCGTGCCAAATCTGCCAATCCGGGGAGGGGCGTGGCACGAATAGGAACACGCTTCTCAACCTTGACTCTTGAGTGTGTCGGCTCGCCCGTGCTATTCCGGCAGTCGAAAGGGCCGTGGAGCTTTATGTGACTGTGCTCGCCGTGGGCATCGTCCTCACGGGGCTCGGTAAAATGGCCACTGGCATCACAATCTTGCGCATCATTAGCAATACGTCACGGTGGCAGCCTTGGGCCGTGTGCATCGCCATGTTCCTCACCGTCTCGACGTGCATCTCCGACTTTGGCGTAAGCGTCTTTTGGTGCGGCAATCCCATCAACACATGGACGATTGCGGGTTGGGCTACCGCGAACTGCGTATTGCTAGGCGGCGCAACTGGTTCCTCGTCATTACCCTGGGGCTCACAATCATCACAGGCGTTGCAACTTGCGGGAACCTTGAAGACATTCTACGCGGCCACCATGAACTACAACGACCTCACCTGGGCCATTTTCTCCACCCTGGTCTGGTTCGGCATTCAATCTGTGCTGATATTCGTCTGTGGCACCGCGCCCTCGCTGCACCCGCTATACGAGCGCTACATCAAGACGCGCCGCCTTCGTCATGGCTCGCAGGACTCGCCCGCCAGGGTTCGGTCAGCCACCAACGTCAAGTCAGCTGGCCATGATGGTTCCAAGACCTCTTCTGCCAAGGTCTCCAAGGTGCCATGTGCAGGAGATAGTTTCGGAGCTTGTCAATACACCATGAATGACAACGAGGCGCAGCATCAGGAGCCCAACCCGCGTCGCCAAGGTCGCGTCGGATGTCGTCACCAGCATCGTGTACGACACGTCGAGTGGCAAGGGCCCGACCTTGGCCAGTGTCAGCACGGACGCGCTATTTGGTGTCGGGCAAGGTCTCGCTGCCGGATTCAAGGCCGTGGCCCGGAGGGGGACTTCCGAGGTAGACCGGCTCCTCGAGGACGCATCCAAGCTGCAACGGGCAAGGGGGACGGCGCGTCGTAGTGCCCGAGTTTCCACGGTAGCACGCATGGAGATAGCGGTATCCGTTTTGGAGAATTCGGCGAAAAGAAGACGGCTGAGCGAGGCGGAGAAGGGTATGTTAGGCCGATACAAGGAGCGGATTGCGACTATCAATCAACGACCTCGTTGGAAATGGGAAGGAGTGCCTCGCAAACATGTTGATCTGCCCTAGAAGGGTGCTGAAGCCTCGTGCAGGAAATACTATCAAGTCCACGACCTGGTAACGATGCACAGGATGCATCCGAAGGAGGCTGCTAAAGCGATTGGCGACTCCCACTTCGAACTTTTATATGGGCATGAGTATAATAGTATCAGGCTGGACGGTGCTAATCGACTTGTTTTTGCAATCAATGACACGGGTCGCAGTGTTCAGGTCATCTCGATAGGCACTTATAACCGACTTAGAATTCAACATTAAAGCTACTTGAGACGGCAATTAGGTCCGGAAGCAAACATGTAGCAGACGTATTTTTCTGTTAATGCCACTGCCTAAAACATTTCAGGAAACAGAATGAAACCAGGAATGCCCGCTTAGACGTGAAGACTGGGAACATTGTGCAAGTGCCTCTTTTTCGTCGACTGTGACAAGGGCTAGGCTTGGAGCAATGACTCAATTCATCTAATAACAGTCTTTGGTATCAAAGGTCCTTCGTTTTTCTCAAGCCCTTGTTAACTAAAGGGGTCTTTAGATACAAGAAGTCGGCGAGGGACTTTGCCCTAGGTCTCGTGACTGTAGCCCTCGTGCAACCGGCCATTTCCGTGTGATATCGACAGATCCGGAACCTCATGTCAGGAGTAAACACAAGTGCTCTATTCTTGTTCGCAATAGCAATATAAACAGTACATTTATTAAAAAGCAATCCTTTGTAGCAACCGTTTTCAATCGAAAAAGAAACGAGCTACTATTGAATTATAACCCTAAGAAACCAAGACTATATCCGCAGGCAGCCACACGGAACCCTTGGACGGGAAGTTAACCACCATATGACTGCCAAATGCAGCTATCGTACCAATTAGATTGAGAAGATGCGAGCCAATAGAGTGACAAACCTAGTGGTATTGCCCCAATCAGTTATTTGCTAGACTAATCGACGGGGAAGGGCTTGGTCTTGGAGGGGATTACCGGAATACCGTGTCCAAGGCAAGAAGGATTGTGTAGCAGGTTTCACACCGAGATCACACTTGGGCATACCGAACGAAACTCGACCACGATTACTGCCAGCACACGACCGCATGTCTGGCGAACCCAAGAGATCCAACAAACATTGGTATCCTATCGCAAAGATGTTAAGCAAGTGTCGGAGTTGCCGGCAATCATTCATGAAGTCTCGCAGCTCATGAATATTAGGGGTTAAATAATAAGGCATTTAAGAATAACTTTAAGAGGCATCAGTTTACATTTTATTTGAATCTAAAGTAGCATATCTTAACTCCCCATCTTTTAGTATTTATAATTCGCTTAATTAACTCCTAAGTAAGTAACAAACCCCTTCTGCTCATCTTATTCAATACCGCAACACCTCACGGGATAATCTTCATCACGACTCAAGCGCAGTTCCAGCGGTCTTGTGAGCAAGGAGGCTCAAGGGAGTCCAATAATACGCCGCTCCATCTTTAACTGCCTCCACCACCCTAAGCAAGATGTCTTTGGTCTCCTTTTCAGGCGGCAAAGACTGGCACTGAGTCTTGTAAGCGGCGTCAAGTATCTCAACCCAACCGGCCAGTCCAGTCTTTATTATCAGAGGTACAAGTGACGGTGGAATCCGGCCCGTTTTAAAATCCACAACTTCTAGTCCGTGACTCTCGAGGGTATTGGGCAGCGCCTCGATCCATCTATGCCAAGCGAGTTAATATCGTGTCTGGTTGTAAAGAGCATTCCCAACAATTTAAGCTTACCCAAAATCAAATTTGAGCGACTTCAATACCAACTTTGCAGCTTGCAAAAATTTCTTAGCTTCATCGCCGCTTGTAAGAATTCTCCCGAGATTGGCTTCTTCCCATTGAATCCAGCCCCCCGGTTCTGCAGCCCCTATATCAGCATTGCTGTTGGAGCAAAATGAGCGATTAGAGAAACTTACTCAGTAGCGCTTTCGCATGGTTAATCAGTTTTTCTACATTGTTCCCGCGCACAATGCAGACCCAGAAACGTAAATGCACTACATCGTACTTTCCAACGAGCTCCGGGGGCACTTGGTCAAACGAGTCCATAATGGACAGCTTGACATTACTTGGCAGGTTTGATTCGTGGGGGAACTGGCCGTCGGATATGTCAAAGCCGTCGAGAACAACAGTCGAGGGAAGCTGAGACGCCAGATCCAACAGCCATATTCTGTGGTAATTAGTAACGAGGCGGCTTCTGTTTGAGTTTGGGACACAAACCCGGTTCCGGTGCCAATTTCAGCAATCTTCATACTGGGGACCACGGGTATCTGGGGATGCAGCGTGTATCCAGTATACATCCTGGCCAGGAGATGCTGGCAATCCAACCTGATGCGGCGTTAACAAGACGACGTACTAATGCAACGGAGCGAGTGTGGGACGGGGATGCCTACCGGAGTGAGGCATCCAAATCTCTGGACAAAATGTAATTGTCGCGGGCAGCCATGGCTATACTGGTGGGTATTATGGCCGGATTAACGAATGCCTTGCTGCAAGTGACTTGTGCTTTTGTTGAAAATTGCTACTACCTGCGGCAATTGCATTAGAACCAGTTGGTCGACGACAAGACTTCACTGTCCGTATAGAGCAAGGGGGGACTTGCGGCAATAGAAAAGGAGTTGTAGGTAGATGAACTGGTTTGCGACATGAAATCTCCTGGTACACGGTTTTGTCCTTGGTATCCCAACATGAGTAATTCCTTGATGTCTGGTGGCACATGTGTAAACTTATACTGCCGGGACCAGAGAGGACTTCCCGGCGGGTCCACGTCCCGGTGTTCATGCCTGAGCGCTCGCTCTCTCCGATATTGAGGTGACGGCACGGCCGCCGCACGGGCAGGTCAGGTTACATCGGGACCGTTTGAGTCCAACGTCCACAGAATACCCCAACCGACCTGCGCCACATGGACCAGAATAACCGAGGCAAGGCACGGGGTTTTGTAAAGATATGGTATTCGGCCCAGTAGAACCGTTACTCCCTTCATATACCCTGATTGTGAGAAGAAATTATGCAATGGAGCATTCATCCGGAACGGGGCACATGTCCGAAAGATGCGGTCCGTTCTAAAGTGCGCGTGAGGAGTAGCCGCCGTGTTTAGTTTCAATCAGCCATCGGCTAGGGGAAAAACCATAAAGTATCTTAAGCATACAATATCAAGGCTGATTGGCAGGACAGCCAGTTCAGATATGTGGGCTCAAGTGCCGATAGCCTTGCCTAGGCAGTTCTGAACTTTAATCCACGAGTACTTTGTAGCTGAAGCTGCGGATAAGATACGCCTCGCCTTAGAGAAAAGCGGCACGGGAACTCCGGTTGCATCTCCTGTTAAAAGGATCTGCGCCATGGCGTTTTGTCCAGACCTGTTTCGTGGATCAATAAAGTGCTTATTCAGAAACGGCTTTCCTTATTTTATCCCCGACAGCCCAATCCAATAATCTTTTTGCCAAATTTACATTTCACTTGGAATCTCCATTTTTGCTTGATTCGCGTCTGACAAGTCTGATTATCTCCTTCGACCGCCCCGTATTGGTTGCATTAATACCCTATGCAAAACCTGTTCTTTTTGAGTTATGTGTGCATCCTTTGTCTTGCTTTGTTTGTACATTTCAGTTGATAAAACTTAGAAAAGAAGTTCCACACTACCTTGTGCCCCTTAAGTCATTTTGCCCCTGATCGCGTCTGTGTGAGCCGACAAAGTCCAAGTGCCGGAATTGCCATGGGATGAGCAACGACGACATGTCGACCTTTTTAACGCGAAAATATATACCAACTAGCTGTTGTCGATAGTAGCTCGGCCGACTGGCATGCTTGGAGCTAATACCTTCACGCTTCGGCCCATGCCTTGTTTCACATTTCATTCTGTAGCCGTCTAATCTCTTCATCAAAAGCTTTGGATTCCAATCAATGTGCGACATTATTTCAGACCTGGCCAATCATATGCGCAAACGTCCCATTCCGGAACAAACAAGCTTGTGGGCAATGTGGAATCAAGGCTGAAGCCAAATCTGAAGCACCAGACACAACCCCTGCATGAGCCTCATGATCCGTTTCAGAATATTGGCGCGACAGCATCTATGCAGGAGTGGCGCTGCGGACCAAATTCTTGGCGTGTCAAATGCTTCAGCCTCAGAGTTCGATGTGGAATCATGGTGCCAACCCTCACATATATGGAACTCTATGAGAACCTGCAGCAGGCAGACGGCAACCAACTTTGTGCAGCGACAAGGTCCTGCAGCTTTCTTTGGTTTGTTGGATCAGACCTATCAGAAAGCAAATGTGACTTTTTCAAGCTATCTATCTGACGGTATTTGATACAAATGACACAGTCCCATTTGCAGTGTAACAGTTGATAAAGTGACTAGTTGGAATATACGCCCCCTTAGTTTGGCATTGTTGCCTCGTTCTTTCTACTTAAATACTGAACATGTAAACTTCAAATTTGGATACTTCAACAATTATCTAGGCATCATCTTCTTGAGGCATTACGATACTGCATCGGGGCCCAGAAAGGCTCTCGCCAAAGACATTGAACAACCTCTGCAGTGACGCCATAGGCGATCTTACTGCTCTAAGAAATTCTTCATCGTTGTCAAGTCCGATATAATGTTCTCCACTATATCTCAAACTAGTGCGCAAATGCAGATGACAACCGTCGATGCTGCTTCTATGACTGTGCCTTCCATCGTCCCTGGCTTCGTCTCCATCTACACAAGCAATGGCAAGGTCTATGCGGTATTGCAATTGGGGAGTTCACAATCGGCGACGCCAGCCAGCTCACCCTCTCCGATGACAACAATACCGGCAGAGGGAAAGAGCTTTTCGTCTCCTCCTCTCCCGACGGTAACGCCATCCACAGAAACAAGTATGCTGGATATGGAGCCTTTCTCAACCTCCCGCTACAATACTTCCACGAGACCAACTACCCTGGCGACATCTCCTTCACTACCACCCATTATGCCCGAGAACATGACCGAGACTGGCATCGTGTCCACTATGGAACGTGGAGGCCTTAGCAGGGCCGAAATGGCAGGGATAGCCGGAGTCGTAATAGGTAAAGTGCATTAATTCAGCACTGAGATCTCGTCGCTAACAGCTCTCAGCGGTCTTTTCTCTGATGGTATTTGGACTAGGCCTGTTTTTGTATCGACGTCGTCGACAAAGGCAATCGGTTGATTCGCTCTGGCCATTACCACTTGCTGATACCCATACGGAAAAGGCTTTCCGCGTCCCTGTAGTTGGCCAAAGATATCGGCTCAGGAATGGACGAATTACTCCAAGTAGGAGCACAGAAGATATCCAGGTTGTGCCGAGAGGTCCTACGCCGACAAATCAGGATGACGCCTCTAGAAAGAGTTCTGTCATGAATCTATTTCCGTCAATTCCCGGACCATCTTTGAGCCTAAGCTCATCGAGATGGGGAGATGGCCTTCACAAGTAGCAGTGGATCTTATTTATACATTTTTAATGACAAGGTATTTGCAGACTGGTTTCATTGAACCTTTGATCAGGCATATCCAAGAAATGACGGTAAAGATGTCAACTATCATGACTGAAAAGAGGCGGCTGAAATCATAGGTCCATGAGAGATTTGCTACCGATTTTATGCGACGGCAGTAGTCATGGTGTGAATATCTAGCCCTAACTTTATTTATGCGTATTAGGGCGCATGCTGTACTTTTGATCCATCTTTTCCTCTCCGCCTCGCAGGATTTCTTCCCGTTCCTTGTGGCCAGCAGCGCCCGCCTGGCAATCGTAGCCGATGTAGTCCGTAGCCATACGGCCACAAGAATTCGTGGTTCTTTGAAATACAGTGTTAGCCAATTGCCTTGAAGTCAGTCTTGTGGATGATCCTCGCCTACTCGTCATATTTGTTCCTTGGCAGACTTGTATATAGAGCTGCGCTCTGGTGTCTCTTGTACTGCTCCTGCATCAGCGCTGTTAGTCACGTGAGATGCTCAATGTTAACCGCCAGGTTGTGACAAGGGCGGGAGAAGGTGGGCTTGGAAAGGATTGTTCAGTTCAAACTATAATAATCGACTTAATGGTACCAAAAGTCCTTGGTTTTCCACGAGGGACGGAAGATCCCTATTAATACAGGAAGTCGGTGAGGGCTTGTGCCTGAGGCAGCCCTTGCTTATGACCGACCTCGGGCCTCGTGACTGTTCCCTTCGTTGTTGTGTCAATACATAAACCTTTGTTGGCCCAACGCCCTTTATTGTGTGCCAACCGTATGACACAGGTTCTCCGCGACGGAACGTCAAAGGATCCAGTCCACGTTTCCTTCTCGCCAGGACTGCATCTACTTGGTTTCCCGGCGAACAAACATTCTGCGCGAATTTCAACAGAACCGCTGCCATGTGTCAAGACCAAGGGCTGCAGCCGGCTTCGATCGTACGCCTGTCTGTCGAGCTCCTGCAAATGGTGCTCTTGGAACTACCAGACGTGTCATCGTTGCGGGCAGCCGCTTTGTCATGCCCGCTGCTTTACGAGGTATTTCTGGATGCAGAGACTACCATCACGACGCAAGTATTGCTCAAGCAGATTGATGACAGCGTCCTGCCCGAGGCGGAGCTCGCATTCCTATCCTCAAGCTTGCACCATGGTCCGGAACCCGAATATCAGCACAGCCTCGTCGACTTCATCACTCAAAATCTTCGCCAAAGGCCGACTCCACCCAGCTCCTGGTCGTTACAAAAAGCGCTTCAACTTGAAAGACTTCATCTCTGTGTGAGCGAGCTAACTCAAAGGTTTGTCCATACCACCCTGACCACATATCCCATGACTCAAAGTGAATGCACTGCTACGCGACTAGAGAGGTGTCGCATCGAACGGGCATTCTACCGTTTCGAAATATATTGCAACCTGTTCCGCATGCTTCCAGAAATATATGCAGAGCTCCCTACACACATAGAGCAAGAACGGCTCTTCTTTGCTTGCTTTGCTCCTTGGGAGAATGAACAGCTAGCCTGCATTCACGATTTTCTTGTTCGAGCTGTTTCGCCAGGTAAGTTACTAGGAATAACGTGTACGATTGTAGAATCTAAAGCTCATCACAATACACTAGCATTCAATGATATCGCAGAACATGATATCGCTTGGGGCGCATTCCAGGTAGAATACGATGACAAGATTGATTCCCCCTTCATCCAACACCTTCTTTCACGTGGATTAAAGAAGCTACTTAGCGTCATCCTAGCAGAAACATATCTAGAACGACATCGACTTCTCTATTCTCGTGGTTGTCCACCCGTCACAG